CTCCCACGGACTCAGAGGAAGTTCGACGCCGTATGGGTTATTGGGGGATAGGCTGACTAAGTCAGCGCACTTTATTCCTGTGGCAGTTACCTATTTCTCGGAGCGGTTAGCAGAGATTTATATTCGTGAGATCTATATTCATGAGATCGCCCGTCTTCACGGTGTGCCCGCATCTATCATTTCTGATCGAGGTACGCAGTTTATCTCATACTTTTGGAGGGCAGTACAGCTTGAGTTGGGTACGCGGGTTGAGTTGAGCACAACATTCCATCCTTAGACGGACGGGCAGTCAGAGTGTACTATTTAGATCTTGGATCGTGGGATCATTTCTTTCCCCTTGCAGAGTTCGCCTATAACAATAGCTACAAGTCGAGCATTCAGATGGCTCCCTATGAGGCATTATATGGTAGGCGGTGTCGGTCGCCAGTTGGGTGGTTCGAGCCGGGAGAGGCTTGGTTGTTGAGCACAGACTTAGTACAGGATGCCTTGGATAAGGTCAAGATTATTCAGGATCTACATCGCACAGCTCAGTCCAGGCAGAAAAGTTATGCCGATCGTAGAGTTTGTGATGTTGCATTCATGGTCGGAGAGAGAGTGTTACTTCGGGTATCACCCATGAAGGGTGTAATGAGGTTCGTAAAGAAGGGCAAGTTGAGCCCTAGGTATATCGGACCTTTTGAGATTCTGGAGAAAGTGGGATAAGTGGCTTACAGGCTTGCGTTACCACCTAGTTTAGCAGCTGTTCATCTGGTATTCCATGTGTCCATGCTTCGAAAGTATCACGGTGATCCATCTCATGTGTTAGATTTCAGTTCTGTCCAGTTGGACAAGGATTTGACTTACGAGGAGGAACTGGTGGCAATTCTAGCCCGACAAGTTCGCCAGTTGAGATCAAAGAATTACCCTTCAGTTCGAGTGTAGTGGAGAGGTCAGCCTATTGAGGCAGCTACTTGGGAGTCCGAGTCCGATATGCGGAGTAGATATCCCCACCTTTTCACCAGCCCAGGTACTTTTCTATGTCCGTTCGAGGACGAACGATTGTTTTAGAGGTGGAGATTGTGATGACCAAAAAGGGTAATCTTATGCTTTAGAACTTGAATCTGCGCTCTTAAGACTTTAAAATCTCATTTTTACCCTCCTCGATTTGCGTGCACAGTTCGGGCAGGTTTCCAAAAAGCTTTTATGTTAAAAACTAATGAAAATAAGAATTTTTGTCTTAAAAATTGATTTTAGTCGACTTCGGTCAACATTTTTTGTAAACAGGCCCGGATCTGTATTTTGACGGTTCCGGAGGGTCCGTATCGAATTAGGGGACCTGGGCGTATTCCCGGAATCGAATTCGGAGGTCCCTAGCTCAAGTTATGAACTTTTGATGAAAAATTAAAAGTCTGAAAATTAATTATTTTTAAGAATTGATTGATGTTTGCCATTGTTAGTACCGGGCCCGTATTTTGGTTACGGATGCCGGTACAGGTTCATTATGATATTTAAGACCTGTCTGAGAAATTTGGTGAGAAACGGAGTTGATTTGATGTGATTCGGACCTTTGGTTGAGAAAATAGTAATTTTAAAGTGTTCTTGAGGATTTCATTCGATTTGGTGCTAAATTCGTAGTTCTATGTGTTATTTTAGCGATTTGATCGCGCGAGCAAGTTCGTATGATGTTTTTAGACTTGTGTGCATGTTTAGTTTGGATCCCCGAGGGCTCGGGTGAGTTTCGGATAGGCCACAGGATGTTTTGGACTTTGGAAATCTGGTTTTTCTGCAGAGTTTGTGTTCTGGCATGTCCTTCTTCGTGTACGCGAAGGTACTCTCGCGAACGCAAAGAGTAAACTAGGCAGCTGAAGTTGTCTTCTTCGCGAACGTGAAGGCCTGGTCGCGAACGTGAAGCATGTGGAGGGGGGATGTTTGGTCGTTGCTTCATCGCGAACGTGAGCCATGCCTCGCGAACGCGAAGGCCATGGGGGGAGTAATCATCGCGAACGCGAGCTTGGTCTCGCGAACGCGAAGGCTTGGCAGCCAGTACCCTTCGCGAACGCGGCAGTACTCTCGCGAACGCGATGAATACTATCGCCCAGCACTTAACAGAATCCAAAAAAAATGGGATTTTAGCCAAAACTCATTTTTCTCAAAAATCAAACGGTGAGAGGCGATTTTTTAAGAGTCATTTCTTCCCCAAATTGTTGGTAAGTGATTCTAATCCATTTTCTTTCAATTACCCATTACATTTCTTGAAAATTCAACCTAAAATCTAGAGTTTTCATGGTAGAATTTATCGGTTAGGATAGAAACTAGGGATTTCGGGAATTTGGGGATTTAGACCTCAATTTGAGGTCTGATTCCAAAACCAATTATATATTCGGGCTCGGGGATGAATGGATAAAATGATTTTGGTCCGAACCTCGGGTTTTGACCAAGCGGGCCCGAGGCCAATTTTTCTGCTTTTTGGAGGAAAATTTGGAAAATTTAATTTATGCAATACAATTGATTTCTTTAGCAATATTTGATATTATTGAGTCATTTTTGAATAGATACGAGTGGTTTAGAGGTGAATTCCAAAGAAAAACTGTGATTGAGAATTAAGTGGCCTTCAGAGAGAGGTAAGTGTTGTGTCTAACCCTGACTTGAGGGAATTAGGAACCTTAGATTACTTGCTAAGTGAAATTCATGTGAGCGGCGTATATGTGAGGTGACAAGTACTTATGCGCCACTAATTTACCTATTTTTCTATGTTTCTTCCATTTTTTTATATTGTCTCATTCCCATGCCTAATTGTTATATGTTATACTAGTGTTGTTAAATTGATCATCAATATCATGTTTACGGATTTTCTGGTGATAATTGAGTTTTTATTTCAAAGTTGAGATTGATATTATGGAACCAAATGTTGAAGTAAGGTTTGTACTTATTAATCTATCTCCCTGTTGTTATTTATGTATTACATTATGGTAAGGGAGAGCGTTAATGCATGAAGGGTGATGCTGTACCATATTGTAAATGTTAATGCACGAAGGATGATGTCGTGCCATATTGTGAGTGTTAATACACGAAGGGTGATGCCGTGCCATATTGTGAGTGTTAATGCACGAAATGTGATGATGTGCCATGATATGAGAGTTAATGCACTAAGTGTGATGCCATACCATTTCTATTAATTTTATGGTGAGATTGAGAGTAAAAGCACGAAGGGTGATGCCGTGCATTTTTTCTTACTGTATTCACTATTCCTGTTGATTCATGGTATATTGTATGCTCCGGTGATCATTCTGTTGTAATCCTTTATCTTGTATTCCCCTCAGTATGATCCCTTCCCGACATTTCCTGTTTAGTTCTTCATTTCTGTTATTTGCATATACATTGTTAAATTGTACAGGTTGATTTGTAGGTGTCTTGCCTTAGCCTCGTCACTACTTCGTCGAGGTTAGGCTCGACACTTACCAGTACATGGGTCGGTTGTACTGATACTGCACTCTGCACTTTCTGTGCAGATTTTTATACCGGCTCGGGTTGATCGAGATTTTGCTATT